GGGGGGGGGGGGGGTTGAGAGGCCAGCAGCAGCTGCCAGGAAGGCCTCTTGTGTTCCTGCCCCAAGAGGTCTGCTCTCTGAGGACATTAAAATCTGAACAGGACAGTTTTGGGGAGGGGGAAAATGTGGTCCTCAAATTGTGTAGGGTCGTTTTCTCGAACTCTGAACTGTACCTGGAAACAGACTGAGAGTAGCCAGTATTCCTAACAGGGGAGGATGCTCATTCTTAACAGGCCCATGGCCGGCCTGTTTGCACCCTGTTGGAGCCATTGACGTGTGCGGATACTTTTCAAAAGCCCCTCCACCTGTTTCTGCATTAAAAAACACCTTAATCAGAACATAATTCAATTCCAAACGCATGCATCAAAATGTGGAATCGGGGTGTGTTATGTTTCCAGCCGTGCCCTCTGTTCCTCTCTGCCTTTTTGTGAATGCAAAATTTTTGTGAATGCCTTCAGAGGTTTAGCTGATCATGGGGCAGGGAGGAGAACGAAGGAGGCAGCTGATGTATGGTGACCTTTGCAGAGCCCTTGAGCAGGAAGAGCTGAAACACTAGGAAGTGAATGAAAACACTAGCCATTCCTAGTTCCGAGTCTTCTGGCCCACACACATATTCTTGTGCCTCCCTTTCCCATTTCTTGGACTGCTATGTATTACTGCACGTGTGTCCCACCATTCCTCCACTGGTCTCAAACAAAGAATACATGGCTCTTTTCCTCCCCCTCTTTCTTTTGCCCTTACAACAACCTGTGAGGTATGTCAGGCTAAGAAGGAGAGAGTGTCCCAGAGCAGGTTTTTTGACTCGGTGGCAACTTGAACCTGGACTTTCCGGGTCCCAGACCAGAACACTGTTACCCAAAACAGGTGTTCATGTATTCTTCCTTATTTTGGGTCGCTATATGGATACCTTAGAGCCAGAATGTAAACTTGCACTAACTTTGGAAACATGTAGATCCCTCCGTGCCATGTTACTTAACGTGGCCAAAAAGAACAGGTCTGCTTTTCTGTGTCCCGACGGGTCCATCTCATACAGAGTGGGTCTTGCCCAAGCCATCCTGCAGACTGGTAACGCTTATTTATTTTATTTATTTATTTATTCAATTTCTACCCCGCCCCTCTAGACAAGGTCTACTCGGGGCGGCTTAGTTACTGATGGAGCAAGTGCCACCTTCCCCATCTCCTATGCTGGTATTTTCTCTTTTAAAGATTTTTATTATTATTATTTGTTTCTGCAGGTAGCTGTGCAGTGCTTCTATGTAGCCATGTTGTTGTTCTTCATTTGGGCCTTACCTGTTGAATGGATTTTCTCATTGTTTTGCTTCAATAGGTCTTCTGTGCAGTCTTAAAGGCCAACAGACCTTAGTCTGCTCAAGTTATGCTTTCTACTGAATTTAAGATTGGACATTCCAGATAGATGACTCAGTGGCATTGGGAATGAGGGGTCCACATAATGCCAGCTCTTGGCTTAGCACCAAAAGTGGGGATGAGGGAGAGGGATTCCAGTTACCTGTGATTCATCCATTTTGGTACAATACTTTTTTTCCCTATCCATCTTTTTCTAGGGTGGTCTAATTCTGGTTTCCCATGACGAACGTTTCATCCGCCTGGTGTGCGAGGAGCTATGGGTCTGCGGGAACGGCACTGTACAACGCATTGACGGTGGCTTTGACGAGTACAGAAACATCCTGCAAGAGCAGTTCCGGAAAGAGGGGTTTCTATAAAACCGGTGCCCCGACTGCGTGCATGAGCTGGTTTGGAGCAGGCCTCGTCCTTACCTGATGGTGCAGCTGGGGATTTCCCCTACATCGTGTGAACGTGGGCTGTGAACGATCGATCTCCTTCGGGTTAACCCTTCCGCCCCCTTCCCAGAAACCAACAACGGCTGGGAATTGCAGAGCGAGGGGGTTAAGGAAAGTGAATGGGCCGGCTCCCTGCGCTGCTGGATCTGTGTCAAGTCTCTGCTGGGCAGGGGCCCAAGGACAGTCCTGAAGGAGGTGGGGTACCTTGAGTGTTGCTTTAGAGGAGTGGAACGGGGAGGGGAGGGGGCCCTCTGCGGCAGGCAATTCCCCTCTTCCTCGCCGCTTGTCCATTTGTGGAATTGGACTTGCTGCTGTCATGATCAATGAGCATAGAAAGGTTGCTTGGGTGAACATGCTGCTCGGTGCTGCACACTTGAGGACTCTCTCAAAGAAATAGGTAGGGATGCCTGACCCACCTTTGAAGTTGGCATGGTGAGGAGTTTTCCTTCTTTCCTGCCATCCCACTTGCTGTGAAAACACACAAGCCGGGTCCTCTTGGACAAGCACTTCTCTCACGACTTAGGCTTACATTTCACTTTTCTTTCCAGGAGGTAATGCTTCTGTACACTGAGGAAGGAGCCCATTCTTACCCCCTTTTACCCTTAGCTGTGATCTTGAGGGAGGGTAGACAAGGGATCAGCCACACTTCCCTCGTGGTGGTGGTGGTGGAGGAGGACATGCAGCAGCAAGTCATCCTGTCTTGTCAGAAGGTGCAGTTCTTGACTCTTCTGCTGTTGGCACCTTGTATCTTAGGGACGATCCACACACCTGCACCAGTCTCTGGATTTCTACAAGTCCGGGTTCTAAACGTTCTATGTTCTGCCCCAGCAAACGCACCGTGTCTGGGTAATTAAAAGAGAAAGGTTTTATCTTGCAATGTAAACTTTCAACTCACTCTTCATCAGCATTGAGGTTGCTGTGTAAATAAAACGGGATCTCTCTGACTTTGGAGTTTGCTTTATTCTTTATTTTCATGTTTTTAGTACTGTATGGATCAGTTTACTCACGGTGAGCAAAGAAAAATGGACAGGGAAGCTGGTCGTAATCTCTGTTTGCAGAATGGTGGCTAATTTCACATCAGAGCAGACTGTCATGAGCAGATATTTTCCCCCCATAGGAATAAACTCCCTTAATAGTAATCCTAGTTTCTAGTCCTCCAAGAATGTAAAATAATTGGACATAACAAATTGATTGTGTCTGCACAGATATGAAGAGATGGCTGAATAAATTTCAAAACATGCTACTATCTGGGCTTGCCCTGATATTAGAAATGTTTTTTTTAATGCCATTTACCTGGAGGAAGAAGGCATTGCCCTCATGTTGGCTACCAAACAATATGCAGCTTACCTCAGACAACCCTAGATCTCCACACAGGACTGCCATATCCCTGTGCCACGTTCAGCACAGAGATGTAAATACATCCTCTCCTAAAATTAAAAAAAGATTTGCATGTGTGCACATGTCAGTATAGCTTTAATGTCTCTTCTTAGAAATCAAAAACCCTTCCCCCCCCCTAAAAAAAACACTATTTGGGGCTATTTATAATGATCTTCCTTTCTGATTTATGGACCTTAAGGAGGCTTGGACATTGTTGAGCTTCGCCCCAACTTCCAGAACCCTGTCGGCTGTGCTGGTTGGAGCTTATGAGTGTCCAAAGGCTGAGAACCACTTGTTTTCAAAGACACAAGATGGTTTTTTAATGTGTCTTTCTGTCTCCTGCCTCACTGGGGGCATCCTGATCAGGAGTTTCTTCAACACTCTCCAACTCTTCTCCCATCCCGTATTCCAGGGGGAACCTTCACCTGCGGAAGTAAGGTTCCCCTTGACATTTAGTCCAGTCGTGTCCGACTCTAGGGTGCAATGCTCATCCTTGTCTCCAAGCTATAGAGCCAGCGTTTGTCCGTGGTCACGTGGCCACTGCAACTAGACACAGAACACCATTACCTTCCCACCGAGGTGGGACCTTTTTATCGACTCACATTTTTGCATGCTTTCGAATAGTTAGGTTGGCAGGAGCTGGGACAAGCGACAGGAGCTCACTCCGTCGCGTGGATTCAATCTTAGGACTGCTTGGTCTTCTGCCCCTGCAGCACAGAGGCTTCTGCGGTTTAACCCGCAGTGCCACCACGTCCCTTCCACCTGCCAAAGTAAACCAGCACAAATTGTGCACGATTTGAGTTGTCTGTTTAAGAAAAGTAGCATAGCCAGGCCACCTGAGGCATGAGAGGGACTCTCCTTAGACTTTCCTGGGGTTCCATCCATTGAAGAGATGGGCAGTTCAAGATTCACACACATTCTGGGGAAAAAAAAAACACTTTTCCTTGATTTTAATCGGGGGGGGGCAGGGGGGGAGTGATGGCTGATGAGCAAAGCCAGGGCATCCGCCTGCTCCCTGCTCCTCCATCAGTCCCCCTACCTGTTGTGGGATTTGGGCGGGGGGGAGTGATGGCTGATGAGCAAAGCGAGGGCATCCGCCTGCTCCCTGCTCCTCCACCAGTCCCCCTACCTGTTGTGGGATTTGGACAAAACACTAGCTCTAAGGAAATCTAAGCAGGGTCTGCGGGGGGGGGGCTGCATCAGTGCCTGGAATAGCAATCCCGGTTCGAAACCAACTTTCAGTCACTCTAATACAGCTTTCAAAGTGAAATATTTACTTTAAATATTTTAACACCCTCTCTCCTTAAAAAAAGAAGGCCCATGATGGCTTACAAAAATTAAAAGTAACCATTTAAGATCAGTGACAATACTAAAAGGATCAATGAAAGCCAAGAAACATAAGCAGCACCAAAACACATTCAACGCAGCAAGCCTGTTACCCGTTCAACTGTTCTCTCTCCGATCAGTTCCCCTGGCCAAGTGGGGGGATTTGAACCCTGGTCTTCCCATCGGCACTCTGCCCATTGGCTCTCTCTACAGCTTCTTACCGCTATTTCTGTAGAGGGATTCCCTGAATCTGCAGGAATCTAGGAATCCCTGGAGATAAAAGAACGACGCAAACAGCACACGGGGCTATTTTAAGCCGCCATGCTCAGCCCTGGGTTTTTTTTTGGCCACGGTCCCTAAACAAAATGAAAGAAATGCGAGAGGAGTCAAGATGGTAGGAGCCGCATAATGGCCTTGATAAGGGGGTTTGGGACCCATCGTTTCCTGTCTGTGCCCCCCTTCAAGTGTGCCAGGGGTCCTGAGAATGGCCGGCAGACTCCTGTGAGTCTAAGTCCCATTTCAATCGGAGGGCGGGTGGGTTGTTTTGTGCATGTCTCGCAAAAGAAGGCACGGGCGGCGCTCCTGCCCCTCGGGAAAGGGGGCCGGCACAACACGTGAACGAACGAACGCCAAGATCCTCTCTCCCGTGTCTACAGCCCCCCCTCCTTCCCCGAGTGAGGTCCGATCCTGACGTGCTGCTGCTGCGCACGAGTCTGGCCGCTCCGCAGGGGCAACAGGAGCCAGCCTGCCCAAACCCCCCCCCAAGGGGGCCGGGGCGCCTTCTGTCCTCCCGGGGAAGGCGAAGGCCTGCATTACGCCCGCTTCGGAGATTCTGCAAGGAAGAGGGAGGGCAGCGGGCAGCGGCGGGAAGGAACGTGGGGGGCGGGATCCGGAGACCGGTCGCGAAGCCTCCTGCGGGGTGCTTGTGGGGGGCCCGAGATCCTCTCCTTCGGTGCCCCCGCTTCGCTAAAGCCCAGACCCACCGATCCCGCCGCGCCCCTCCAGCGCCTGCCCGAAGGACCGCGCAGACCGCGGGAAATCCGCCGGCGCGCAAGAGGGGAGACGCCGAAAGGTCCCGCCCGGGGCGAGAGGCTTGGACCCCTTTTCCTAAGGGAGGCGATCGCGCCTCTAGCCCCCTCCAGATCCAATCCCAGGGCCCGCCTCCCCCTCCCCTCGGCCCCGCCCCGCCGGGGGGGGTTCAGCTGATGGGCGAGCCCAAGTGCCCATTCACGGGCAGGGGGAAAGAGGGTGTTTGGAAGCTCCCCGACCCCCAGCTCTTTCTTCCTGGAGGCCCCGGAGCCGCCCCTTCTCTTTCCCAGGTGGTTCCGCCTCCCGCCAGCCCCGCTTGGGAGGAGGAGGAGGAGCTGCGTCGTTGCTGCTGCTCCAGAATCGGCGCCGGTTTCCGCGGCGGGTGGGAAGGAAGGAGGAGAGCAGCCCCGCTCCAGCCTCGCCGCCGCTTGAG